GCTCCGCAAGGGTAAAGAGCTGGTCCACTGTTCCACGACCAGGACGGAATCCGCATTGATCCTCCTGAATCCGAGGTTTGACAATCAGCCGAAGCCTCCTTTCCAGCATCCTAGAGTAAACTTTCCTGGGGAGGCTGAGAAGTGTGATACCTCAATAATTGGCACACACTCTCCGGTCCCCCTTTTTAAAAATGGGAACCACCACCCCGGTATCCTCCTCCACCGCCTGCAATACACCACTGGACCGTCACACATCACACATAACTGGTTCATGTCATACCTGACCAGCAGAAGAGAGCATGTCATCCAGGGCAAAACAAAATCATACACACACAACGTCACATGCTGTGTCCCTCAAGGCTCGGTCCTGGGCCCCAACCTCTTCTCTATTTATCTGCTCCCCCTGTGCCGTGTCATCAGCAAACGTGGGACATCATTCCATTGCTATGCTGATGACACTCTCCTGTACCTCAGGCCATCCCCCACTTCTTCTGCTCGCCTGCTAGCATCCACACTGACCACCTGCCAGGAGGAGATAGAGGCGTGGATGAAACTCAACGTCCTACAGTTAAACAGCTCTAAAACAGAAGCCACTCTAGTTGGTGCACCACACCAGCTCCGCTCTTCCACCATCACCAGCATCACTTTCTCAGGCCAAATCATCCCCCTCTCCACATCTGTCACCAACCTGGGTATTAAAATAGACCTGAGGCTGTGGAACTCCCTCCCATAAATCTGGATGTGGCTCCCACTGAAGGAGGATTTAAGACTAAAGGTGTGAGAGGGATCTTTAGAACTGATGCTGGCATTGCATGTGTGAACTGCTGTTCTGTCTCTCTGTGTCGGGCTCCTCATCCTACATCAACCTCTGTCAGAATTTCCACAACAGTAGGCACAATAGCAAGTGTGGAAAGGAAAAAGGCCTTTTTAATTTGAGGTGACCTGCAGCAGAACCACCTCATGGAGAGCAGCTCATCTTTGCAAGTCTCCAGGTTGAACAACTGACCATGTAATGTATTCATTTTGCCAAGATGCATGTTGTGGTTCTGTTTTCCCTGCAGTGATTCATAACAAATGTGTTACTTGTTGTCACTACTGCCATAAATAAAAACTCATGTTGTCAGTCTATAGGTGCATTGAGTACAGGAGACATTTTTAATTCACAGCCTGATGCTTCGCCATTTCCTGTGTAGCACCTTAATCCACATGCGTGTGTGTTCTGTAAAAAGTTTGCAGTTTGTGGTGATGCACACCCACAAAGATGTTTCCAGGAAGTGGACATGAACAAATCTAGAAATTGAGAACAATATGACAACGAACTAAAAAACATCTAATGTCTTCTTTCAAATAAACATTTACATTTTTTCAAATAAAAACACTCTTTATACGCCTTTTTACAGCTTCAGAGTTGAAAGATAATAGTTTGATGGTATATATATATATATATAGTCATTGCTAGCAGACAGAAGTCACAGAAACTGACACATAACAGGAAGTCTTCTGAGGTCCAAAAACCCCAGCTTCTGACCACAAAACGGTCTTTAGATATAGGAAATAAGCTTTGTACTTTTTTCTGCTCGCTTCTAGCCACATTTAGATCAAATAGACGCTGCTTCAGTTGCAAACAAGAAATCCATGGTGTTATAGTTTGATGGTTTTACAAACTGCTGCTTTCACACTGTGGTGTTTGCAGGATTTAACAAACAAGTTAATTCTTTGTGAATTACTCTTTCCTAAACAGCCGGCAAAATGATTGGATCACATTTATTTCTGATACAGAGCACACCAAAATCCTGCCAGAATTTTATTTGTCTCAAAGTTCATGAATAGCTTTTTCCACTTTTCACTTCAGCACATGTGGTGATAAATGTAAAAAAAA